TCCCGTTGCTATTCCCAATTTTTGTCAGTAGAAGGCATCTCCGAACGTGAAAGCATTATCCTAGGGACACCGTTCTAAAAGACCGCAGTGATGCTCTTTTGATAGACCGAAACCATCAATTTCAATGAAATGTTTGTCTGCCTGAGCTTTCACGGCAGCGATAGCCTCATTAACTGGTGTATTGCCATGTAAACTGACATCTGCACTGAATATAGTGCTGCCCTCTGGTAACCATTCTACCTTCGAATGATTAGAAGCCTCTTTAAAAAGCATCTGGTGTCAAACAAACAAACCTCAAAAACTGGCTGAGCATTTTCTCTAAGACACGAAGTTTTTTCTGTAGAACCACCGCACGCAGATATTTTGTCCGAAAGCTTTCCGCGAGCTGTGCTCTTTAGTGTCTTTTTGTTTAAGCCTCTACATGAAGGACTGGGTTCCTTTTCAGTTTTTCATATCTGCCGTTGTTATTAAGTACAGCCTGAACCTTGTTAACATAAGTTAGTCTATCTAAGATTACACACCCTCGCACTTATCGCCCTGTTTAGTATGAGATCATCATTTTTGCTAAGGTCTCTGATAAAGCTCCGCCGGTCCGCAGTGGCATTTAGTTTGCCTACTTCACGGTTTCTGAACATGTGTGGTACGTCATCCTTCCATTTCTGTAAGCTGATTCCTACTCCATCACTGGAAGGTTCCGGAAAACTCTTGCCGGTGTCTGGAAATCTTAACGTACACGGGTCATCATGGCCGATTATGCGAACGTGCTATGTGCTTTCATGTGTAATGTTCGCAAGCTTAAATTGTTTACATGTGTAAGTGATGCCTAATGCGTGATGTGTGATGCCTGTTCAATTGAAATCACTTGCATGTTAATTGATGCGCGATGTGTCATGCCTGTTTTCTTAAACTCGCTTGCATGTTTAAATGAAGCGTGATGGGTGATGCCTGTTGCTTGAATTCGTTTGCATACACACATATTTTTGCGTATTCTTATTCTTAGATATGCACTGTATCGCTTTTTGTTTGATCCCTGGAATGTTGATGTACTGTAAAAACTGCGACTAGCTGTTTGCAAAGAAAATAACTGAAAAATCGAATAGAATCATCAAGCAATTTTGAATTCACTTCTGCTGCTGTTTCGATATAGGCATGTTGCCGAAATATCAATCAATCTATTTCTCCATTATCCTGTTTTTTCCTCCAAGGAATGAGGCTATTACTTCTGTTTTAAAATAAAGGCTTTATGAGGTTTTTCGATGCACGAAAAACAATTTTCCTATGTCATGTTATATTTATTTATTTGCACGTAAAAGGGTGTAGCCTGGTCGCCTAGGTTCGAAAATAAAAGGTTGGTTGTCTGCTTCGAAAGACATAGTCGATGCACCGACGAACCATGCGTAACACATGAAGGACGGCACTCGGCACGCCGCCGCAGACGGCTGCTCCCCCACCCCCTCTTGTGTACTGCCGGGGCCGGGGTAGTTGGAGCAAGGGAAAGGGGGGGGGGGAGGTGAATGCGAATTGTGAGGGTGGCGCTGTCTTTTGTTCATGTCGGACGACTCGGAAGTCAGAAAAGGTTCAGTAACAGGGTTTTGGGGTGATACCTGTTGTTGCTTTGGAGCGCCTGCTTAGATTGACAGTGTCTTGCGACAATAAAACGCTTAAGTAACGCTAGTTACGCCGCTCCATTTGGGAAACACAAAATGAGATCACAGCGAAGTTTAAAGGGAGTATGCCACTTTTTGTACCTTCACTTATTGCTTAGATCAAACACGTCTGATTTCATCAGTAATGCCAATGTTCTCGAAGTGCTCTGTATAGCTTAGAATTTCTATTTGAAATAGCCACTCCCGCAGGCAGATCTCATTGGCCTCCCTACTCACCGCTATGAAAAAATACGTTCATTTGCCTTGCTTTTCCAACGGGTGTGTTGTGTAGTGTTTGCAACACACTAGCTCGCCAAAATGCTTGCAAAATAAGTGCTACGAAAGCTTGAAACACTCTGCTTAAAAAATATATGCAAGCATGGGGCTGCCATCCCACTAACGCTGCGTCTTGATGAGAAGCAGCGGCACTCACGCGGTTTGCGTGCGCTGTTCTCACCAGATCGCGAAGCTGGGGATCTTGTGGCCTGCGAGATGTCACTTAAAGGGAGCGTTCCACGTTTGTGTGGGGCTTTGAGATCATAAGGCCATTTTTAAGATCATTTGGTGCAGTTCAGTCCTGCCAATCTTAGGACCTAAACTCCTCTAGTTTCTGAGCTACGCCGCCGCGAGCGTGTGCAGAGTATTTCAAGGAGAATATTCCAAGACCACCCAGGCATCCATGATGTCATAATAACACCATTTAAATTGTGTCATTCCATTATCAAAGCGACAATCGAGGCCAAGAAAAGGGTTATTGTCGAGTCGGTCATGTCTGGCGTTCGTGAGCACGTTTTCCAGATAAAACGGTTCCAGGGTTGGCGTCTTGGAATTAATTGAGTATATATATATATATATATATATATATATATATATATATATATATATATATATATATGCACATCACATCATCTCATGCATACGATGCTCGCTTAAATATCTTATATCTTCGAATGTGGAACATTCCCTTTCAAAGGACCTACTGAGTCACGCCGCGTGTGACGTTTATTGAGAATCCTGCATGATGCGGAAGTGTGAGAATCGTCCGCGTTTAGGATGGCGTGCAATCATTTTTTATTTACACCATCAATGCGCAACCGAGGACACGTTGGGTTCGGTCGATGAAATTACATTTCGCCAGTGGGTGAGCACCGACCGCTGTCATTTAACTGAACTTGCTCTGTCAGTAGGTGACTTTTTGACCAACTTGTCAGAAGCTGTAGTTGCAGTGACTAGACATCACTTTATGGCCAACACCATAGTAATTTCTTCAATGACATTTAAAACGACTGCCCGAGAACAAAACTTTCACCACCTCAGATTTTTCAGAAAATTGCACTTTAGTCGTCCAAGAGGAAATGTAGCAGTTTCATTAGGATGTACCACAATGTACGCTGCATCCTCTTGTGGTAAAATGCCTAGAACCTGGACACATTACGTAAGTGTAAAGCCTCGTTTCAGATATGAAAAGTATTAGCTTTCAGACGGATCAGCTGCGCAGTGCACGAACAGTTTCGATTTTTTTAACATTGGCTTTCATTAGGACTTTGGCGTGAAGTGCGAGTGGCATTATGTTGCCATATTCCACGGTAAGAACTCTTGCGACCTTCAAGAGGGTTACTGCTAGTGCATGCCTGTCACGCCTCTCTTCCGAGCATATCTTCTTTGTTTAGAAGTTATGCCAGTTCTTGCAGGGCAAGGCTAATGTGCACACAGTATGTTTATTCGTACCAAAAGGAGAAGTCCCTCGGGCAGACTATGGGCTTAGCATCAGATTGGCTTAGGCTAAGACTGTCAAAGGGACACTTAAGGTTCACAAAGTAAGCAGTGAGTGTTTAGACCATCAGGCCCCCACTAATTATTCATCATGCATGCAAGCGCACTGTGTGAATGAAAAAACATGCATTTTGTATTGTATTTGTCGCACTTGCAAAGTTTCCTTTCAGGCAAACCACTGGGAAGAAGGTTGTTTCTGTTTAAAGTACGTCTTGTAGAGTAAGCACCAAAGGCCATTAACCGCGTATGTAGAAAAAAAAATCATGTTTTTCTCAACGATGCAGCACTGCGTGTCTGAGGCCATTCAGGATTTTCCACGAAATGCCACGATATCAGTCAGTCAGTCAGGCTCCAGTCACCTTCCCTTGGGTTGGCGTCTTAGAATTAATTGGAAATAAATTGTAGCCTTCAGTCACGTTAGAAGGGGTGGCGTGGTGCAAACAACATTTTAAGGCCACATAGGCCACTGAGTTTCAGGCAATATTCGTGGTGTCTGATGATCGTGGCAACTAATTTTCTCATATAATGTTCAGTGTAGGCCATTGTAAAGTTCCGTCTTAGCCACTCGTGTGCGTTTGCGTGTGTGTGCGTGCGTGTGTGTGTGCGCGCGCGTGTGTTTCAGGTTAACGTAGAACTGTAGGTATTTGGGGTGTTGAATGCTTGGATGATGTCATTTTTGGTATCTGTTAAGTGGCAGTGGCTGCACAGATTAGGAACATGCTATGGATTTACGTATTTTACTTTTCAATTGTAATGTTTTGCTTTTTCTGATGTTGTTGTTGTTGATGATGATGATCGTAATGTTGGGTACTGCTGGGCATAATGTTTCCTGACTATTAATCGACTGACCTCGTTCCTGCTACCCCTGAACCCTTGCCTTTCAGGCAGAGGTCCGCGGGTCTTGTCACTTTACCCTAAGCTTTGCGCATGCGTGATGTGTGATTTTACCGCTACCTGGCCGTGAGCACTCGTCAGGTCACCGAGGTTCCGAGGGCTCTTCCTGTAGACCAGACATTCCAGGTGCCCTATAGATAAAGGCATAAAGGACTCAGGTCCGGGAAATCAACGGGTTGCCCTTATGTCAACTGATGGAACGTTTATAGTACGTAAGTTATACTCCAACCACGTTAGGGTCAGTGCGTTATTTGAGCGAGGCTTGAAAGTCGCCCATTTCAAGTTTTGTTTTTGTTTTTACGTCTGTGTCATTCGATGCAAACGATGTCAAATTCCTTGTCCAACTCTGTGCAAGTTTCCTTTCAAATGGGCTCAGGGTCTTTTGATGCCGAGGTCAAATGGTAATGCCATTTGAATTGACACAGACGGTGGCAGTTGGGACAGCATTTAATTTTTCATTCCTTTTTGGCCAACAGCAACGCTCAAAAGCGATACTAGGCTTACGACTGCAAAAAATTACGCCGCCGCAAGCACACAAGTGGATCACATTAGAATCAACTACGCGTAGTTCTCGACGCAGCGGCCAGGTGCAAAAACGACAGTAAAATAGTCTTTTTACAACTGCTCATTGCGTCGCAAATGTCTCGGCTCTGAGCCACATAAAGATTGCGGACAAATTTTGTGAATTGGTACGTTCATAGCGGCTGCGCGGTGTGGGGTAGCTACGGGACCAAGGGCGAAACCATATAAGTGTGAGGGCTAATTGCGAGGTTTCTGAAGCCTCCTGAAGATTGTGGTCGATTCCGTGTAAGAGGTATGGTTCTTCATCATGAAATTCACCTTTTTAAGTAAAGTGTAGACCTCATGGTCAGACTTGTGACACTTGTCCCCTGTGACCACTGACCAGCGCGGCATTTATTTGGCACTCAGCTGTCTGCCTATCTGTCTTTTCAACCAACACCCACGTGTAATTTGCAGTTGGTTGCAAGCCCTTGGCCTTCACAGTGGACATGTGTAATATAGAATGTTTGTTTTGTATTATATGGTATATAGAGCCAGATGGTGACGGGTGACCATGTGATTGTTCATACAATCACATGCGCACATGATACACGTTTGCATGTAACATGTCATAGAGGTGGTCAAATGTATTTTTTTATCTGCTATCTTGTCTGGTCATTCTCTTGTACATATCAAAATTGGATGGGTTTCACACTAAATTATGTTGATTTAGATCACATTAGGAAATGTGGGGCCCGTGTTGGTGGTCAGTGTTGGAAATTCAAAACACTTTCCTGGTAGCGGAGTACAAATCTTCCATAGCTGAGTACAAAATTATCCAAGTGCTGTGGGTCTTTATGCCTTTATTTAGGTTATCTTTGAGAGATAATGGTGCAATAGGTGGCAATCAACAAAAGCACCACTTCTGATGCACAGCAATTCATGTAAAAGCACTTTGAATGAAAGAATACATCAGTGTTAAGCATAGCACACTGAAACAACACAGTCTTATACTCTGTACTGTGAAACACATGCAGGCCAGCCAAAAAGGGTCGGAGTCAGTCACTCAGCTGACTCCTGTGGATAATGCAATGTGTTGATGGATTTTTATGTGCTTTAACTGATATCATTGTGAAATATGACAATTTATGTTGCAATTAATTCATGTTTTTGTCCTAATAAACCCTTCTCCTTAATTTACTGGGCTGACATTACAGGTTTATGTTACTCTGGTGTCCTGGTGTTTTTGCTGCAGTTAGATGGTTGTCTCCAAACAGTTTCTTGGCTATTTATAGCATCGCTTATTACTTAAAAGCATATTTTTGTAAAGCTTGAATTATCAGCTTCAATTTTACACCCTCAAGTGGTGAATTTAACTTGGTTTAAATCCACAGCTGCCATAACATTTTTGTACTCCAGATACCAGGAAGTGGCAAAAAATCCAACCACAGTGCGGTTGTTTATGAGTACAAATAAGTCCTTCTTCATAATCATGATGCCCATCTCCATACAACTTCCCTCCAAATGTTTACAGATCTGTTCCAGGCATGAAGGCAAGCAGAATATTTATGCTCTTGTCAAATCAGTCACAAGGAGGCGAGTCATTAAAACCAATTGGAGAGTTTTGCTGTGTTCAATGTCCAACCTGAGCTGGGAGGCAGGCGCAAGCCGCTGAATAGTTGAGACGTTTCCGACGCTGAATGGCGAGTAATTCTCTTATTTGCATTGCGGGGTGACACAGTGGTAGCACGTGGGTAGGCGGCCATCTGCGGTAGGTGAATGGCGTGCAGTTTTCTATGAATGTTCGTTGCATCCGTGGCAATTAATGTGGTTCATTGTCAATGGTCGGTTAAGTCATGCTCAAGTTTGAGTTGGCCTGCATAGGACATGGGAAGTGAGAGCTCTGCTAATTTACACACTGGTGTGATTCTGGTACTCGTTTCTCATTTCCCGGTATTGTTTAAAGGCGATTCCATCCAACATTCACACACTTTATTGTTCACATTTCCACATATGGTTTATCATATACCTAGGTGGCAACACAGGCTACTTGCTTTTAGGCATCTTAGTGTGTGAGTGCGAGATTTGTGCTCTTGCAGATATCAATACATGGCTCCTGATGGAAGCAGCAAGTCTCAAGCTGTGGCACCTTCTGGTTTTATTTTTTTCTGACACAAAGAAGTAAAATGAGTTTTTCACAAATCTCTTCTTGTTGCATCATGATGGAGTACAAAATATTTCATTTTGCCTAGTCACAATCCTGGAGTACAAAATCTCCTGGTGTACATTATACCAGGAAACATCAAGTTTTCCAACACTGCTTCTAATGGCCTCCGGATCGACCAGGAGAACCTGGCCCTTGCCACCAAAATGGTAGCCAGAAGACATTCGCGATGGGACGAAATGACCCTTCAGCCCTTGACCGGGAACGGTAATGTGCCCATGGTGTTCTACTTGGCGGTGCTTTACAGGCCGATCTGTTCTTGTCATCAGTCTAAAAATTGCACACGTGAAATATGCGCTCAGACTTCGTTCTAAATGCAAGATCTGATGTCATGAAGTGTCCAAGGATACTTTTCAGAAGCGTCGTGATTTCGTCGATTTGTTGGATGCAACTTAATATTAACTGCTAAGCCGACGCTGCGCGGCCTACAGAGACTGCAGCGCCTGGGGTCGAGGCACGTGTTTCTAAGATTTACGAATGCGCATGCTCAAAATTACACCACATAACTTGTGTTACCTGTCGATTGAAGTGTTTAAAGGTAATCATATCGGAGGTATCATTATTGTCGTCCAGCGGTGAGCCACGGCTAAATATTTTAGCTACTGGGCTAACGCTCCGCGGACTATGGACACTGCAGCGCCTGGTGTCGAAGTTTTTGTTGCGAAGATTTGCGAGCGTGCATGTCAAAAAACACGTTACATAAATTCTATCACTATTCGATTCTGACTGAGTGGTGAACATTTTCAGACAAGCATAGCTTGGTCATGTTAAGACGCATTGTTGACCACTCGATCTGCAATCAAATTTCCATCTTCAAATTTTTATCAAACATATCGATCTAGCATCTACCTCCGCAATGTTCCCAATGTCTTTAGAGGCCAGATACAAATTTTGACAAAGCATCTGAATTCTATCGGTTTAAAAAGAGCCTTCTAACCATTGTAAATGAAGAGTGTCGGTAATGGTTTTTTCCATGCAGTCGTTCAGCGCCTGATTTCTGCAGTTTATTGACCTCAAAATACAAACAGAATTGAGCTCACGGTGGCTCTTGGTTTCTGTTATGGTTACAAGGTAAAAATACCAATAATGCGAATAGAACCGTGTCGATTAATAACAAGTAAGATATATCCGGGAATTTTGGGGGGATCACCGTCAGATGGGCTTTTGTCAACCTTGTGTTCCCCCTTGGCAAGGCTCTGGCTGCGCCCCTGCCTACACACAAAGGCAGATCAAGTTGTATATGTTACATGATGGGCAATTAAATGTCCGTTGGGCCAATTCATACCTAAGGCAGACAGCTTCCCGCTGCGTATTTTTCTGCGATGGTGGTGTGAGGAAAGATAATTCGGAAAAAGATACTGTTGCAGGTGTCCAACACGTGTTTCATACACCATGCAGTGGTAACGCTGATCCAAAAGTATGCAGCAAAGCAGCCATGCGATCAGTTCGCAGTCAGCCATGCGGGAGACACAGGGCTAGGGCAATGGCCACCCAGGGCGGACAGGAGCAGGGCCCAGATAAGGAACATATGTCAGATGGGCCTTATTATGCGGCTTGATTTTTTAAAAAGGATCTCCAGTTTCATGGCTTTTGTCACATTGTTTCTAACAGTTTCAAGCTCCCGAATTTGCTTCCGCCTAAAATGCTGCGACAAGTCCTATCTCTTGAAAAGTAGCCAACGAAATGAAGGCGCATGAAAAATCTGTCACACCGTGATCCATCGATCCACTTTTAACATTCTCACCAGCCTTCATCCAGGCCGTATTTTGGGATCTACACTGTGGAAGCATATGCTTCCTCAAGGACCCAAAATGCCAACCCGCTCGTGGAATATCGCCTCCCCAGGGAAGACAATTTTAAAATGGACGAATAATCAAGGGAAGCTTGATATCCTTATTTGCTAAGTGACAGATGAGTCGAAAAGACAAGATTGTGCACCAGTGAGAAACAGCTCTAGATGCGTATCTAGCAAAGCAGCCATGGCATTTGAATAAAGAGCGGTAACAACCTCCATCCCCACCCCCCCCCCCTCAGTCATCGGGGTTGCTTTCCAGAAAAAGTTCCTGAAGTACACGCAGAGCTTGGCCCCCCTCCCCACTGTTTGAAACGTTCCTACACGTGTGCTTACAACCATCCCCTGACCCAGCATTTTATGCAATTTAACCTATCACTGGACAGCAATCATGCTAAACCCATTTCTGGCGTTTTGTTTTTTACTTTTGCTCATGTAAAAAAGTGAAGTAAAAAGCCAAGCTAGCATTGTCAATATTCTGGTTGACTCCCAGGTTCCGTCACAGTTCTGGTAGTGCATCACAGTTTATAAGAACATCACCCAAAATAACATCCGAGGTTCAAGAGCAGGAAATGTTAGCTCTGTAACAAGAATTGGTTTAAAACATCTGTTGGACAAGCTTGACAGCAGAAGTATGGTGCCAGACAGAATGGTGCCATGCTCTAGCCCACCATTCAAAACTGATGTGCAGCAGTGATACCTTTGTCCACAGGCAGCTGCACTGTTACACCTTTGTCACATATGGCAACATTGCTACCTGGCCTGCCAGCATCTTCCTGCGCTGCCTTAGGTGTACTCGGAGGCGCCACCTACTGCTGGAGCCGTCAGTCACGTGATAGGTACCGGCTTCATTTCACTACATGCTTGTTACTGATGTGTATGGTTCCTTTTGTATGTGGATATGTGTTTTGACACCATTCTGTGTCATTCTGTGTGACACCATTCTGACATCATTCTGTGTGATGCCATTCTGTGACTTTTTGTTTTTATCCAACTGGCGATGAACGGTGAATGGACGCAAGCTCATTGTGGATTGAGCAGTGCACCAGTGATGAAAATATGAGCAAAGGTTTTGTGTTCCAAACGTGCTTGTCGCCGTGATGCTTAAGGGTGAAACACGCTGGCTGGCTCACATAGAGGGACTGTAGTACAGCGCCAGATCGATGAGTTCAGAACGCTCACACTCATATATTTTATGACAACTTGCAATGATTGTATAACAGTGCTTTTGAATTTCAGGAGCAGTAATTTGATCCTTTAAGCATGGACTATGAGTTCAAGCAAAAAACCCAGGTGGAGCGAGCTAAAGTCGAAGAATATTTTGAGTTTGAAGGCTGCAAGGTTGGTCGTGGAACATATGGCCATGTCTACAAGGCCAAGCGAAAAGATGGGTAAGCAAGCAACACGTTTTTGTGCACAAAGGTTTGATCGTTTTAGTGATGATGTTGGCTGTAGTCTACTGCCAATTTTCCACTTTTTTTTACAAAGTAGCTTCCATGAGTCAAGTGTCTAGTGCCACCTGAAGTTCAGTATAATTAGACAGTTGTGTCAGTGTTATATGCAGGTGACGCATCTTGATTTGTCACACACTGCAGTGAGTCGTCATTTTAACTTTTTGCATGTGCATGGCTTGCATGGTCAGCTGGTCTGTAGACCAGCTGACCAAATAGGATTCAAGCAGTGACCGGTTTTGTGATGAAAGTAACTGACCTGGAATGGATCATGAGCACAGGGGAAACTTGTAGCAGTCACTGTAATGTCTTATAGATGCAGTTATAATGCATGTTCGGCGCGATAATTGAAAGCTGATGCCAAGGAAATGGGAGCTTGAGGCTCATTTTACTTACATTACGCTCATACCGTACTCTATGTGACTTCTTCGGAGTCAACGGGCTTGCTTGCATGACACGAACCAAGTATCCTGAAAACCAAACCGCGGTCGTGGCTCTGCAAATCAGTACTGTGCCGTAGCAGGGCGCGCGGTCGTTGCAGGAAGGACGTGCGCGAGTACGCGCTGAAGCAGATCGAGGGCACTGGCCTCTCGATGTCGGCCTGCCGCGAGATCGCGCTGCTGCGCGAACTTAAGCACCCCAACGTCATCAACCTGCAGCGTGTGTTCCTGTCGCAGCCGGACAGGAAGGTGTGGCTGCTGTTCGACTACGCCGAACACGACCTCTGGGTGAGCGGACCTGCGGGCGACGCCGCGCCAGCGGCTGGGGCTGGCCACCGGGCCCGATGGTTTGGTCGGTCCGGTCGTCCTGCCCTCTCGTGAAGGCAGATGTGGGCGAGAGCGGGGCGCCGCAGGTGTCTCGCGCTCGCATGTGACCGTTGCGAGAGAAGAGCGCTGTTCGAGGCACCCATTGTCTCCTTGTTGGCTCGCTCCGCATTTGCAGTTTGAAATGCCGAGTCAGATGTAGATCTGGGGGTAGTGCGTCTAGCTTTTCTTTGACATCAGTGATGTTTCTGATATGTCTCACTATGGTGGTTACGATATGTTTTCCGCTGGGGTTCTGCTGTCTTACAAATATTCCTCCCACGCCAAATTTTTCAGACTTGATAGTGCACTGGTGCCTATTTGGTGTTGTATTATGACTGTGTAATGCTGTGTTTGTTTGTTTCTGCATCTTTATTTCAGTGGAAAGGGGATGTTCTACCAGCAGATCTTCTGTATGTTATTTTCGTTGCAGCATATCATCAAGTACCATCGTGCTGCCAAGGCCAACAAGAAATCAGTAATGGTTTCGCGAGGCATGGTGAAGTCGCTGCTGTACCAGATATTGGATGGTATTCACTACCTCCATGCAAACTGGGTGCTCCACAGGGATTTGAAGCCAGCCAATATCCTAGTCATGGGAGAGGTCAGTCTTCCGCTAGTCTCGATGGTGAGGGGGGAGGGGTAGTTCATCAATCATGTAATCATTGGTGTTAGAATGGTCTAATGATGGTTTCATTTTCAGCGCCGCACGGACTGGTCGTGTTCTAGTTCTGTTGCCGTTTGCAGTCCGGCTTTAGTGCCCCCCCCCCCTCCGCATCTCATTCGGAACGTTGCACTTCAATACTTTGTTCAAATGACTTTCCCTAGTCGCACTACGGATTCCAACGCTCGCACCTCCCCATCTGAATGGATACCAGCTCATGCTGGTGTGTGTATTGCTTCTGCCGTCGCTGCGGCCTGTGTGGGTCCTACTGTGCTGAGTGTCCGCCATCCGGGCGAGGCGGCCCCGACGAGCCGCCGGCCGGCCTGATCCTCACCTGATCCCCCCTGACCTCTGCCTGACCTCCGCCTGACCTCCGCCTGATACCCGCCTGACCTCCCCCCGATGCTCGGCTCACCACCTCCCCCTGATACCCGCCTGACCTCCGCCTGATACCCGCCTGACCTCCCCCTGATGCTCGGCGGACCTCTGCCTGATACCCGCCTGACCTCCGTCTGATCTCCGCCTGATCCCCACCTGATCCCCGCCTGACCTCCGCCTGCTCCCCGCCTCACCTCCGCCTGATCCCCGCCTGATTTCCGCTCGATCCCCGCCTGGTCCCTGCCTGACCTCCGCCTGATTCCCGCCTGACTTCCGCCTGACCTCCGCCTGATCTCTGCCTGATCTGTGCCTGTCGTTCGCTTGACGCCCGCCTGACCTCCGCCTGACCTCTGCTGCAGGGGCCCGAGCGGGGTAGGGTGAAGATCGCCGACATGGGTTTCGCGCGCCTCTTCAATTCACCACTGAAGCCGCTGGCCGATCTGGACCCGGTGGTGGTGACCTTCTGGTACCGGGCCCCGGAGCTGCTGCTGGGCGCGCGGCACTACACTAAGGCCATTGGTACGCCCCTCTCCCCAGCCCCCCCCCCCCCCCACCTCTATCACCGTCCGGGGGCCGCAGCGACACACATGGCCTCGTTTGGACAGACCGTGTCAACCGTCCGGCCTGCCTGGTCCCCAGCCTCTTGCCGGGCACACACTCGCCTGTTTCCCGTGACGTTCGGCCGGTCAGGTGCTGCGGAATTTGTAGTTCTCATGACATGGAAATCAGTGGCTGCATACTTTGTTCGAGCTGTGCTGTTGTTATTAGGAGGGCCACAGACAAAGCGCGTAATCGTTTGCCAGACTGCTGACGTACTGCTGGGCGCTCGCCTTGGCCAAGTTCTCGTGTGCGCGTGTGAGTTTGGTCTTCTGGTGGCATTGCTGAGTCGCCTCCGTGACCCGTCGGCAGATATATGGGCGATAGGCTGTATTTTTGCTGAGCTGCTCACCTCCGAGCCGATCTTCCACTGCCGGCAAGAAGATATCAAAACATCCAACCCCTACCACCACGACCAGTTAGACCGCATCTTCAACGTGATGGGATTTCCGCAAGAGAAGGACTGGGAGGACATTCGGAAGATGCCGGAACACAGCACCTTACTCAAGGACTTTAAGCGGTCCAGGTGGGTGCCGCAGTGGGTCCGCCAGACCTCTGGAGATGGGGAAGGTCGCGCGTCTAGTGCTTAGGGTGGACGCGGTCGATGTTTTACTTGTGTGCTATGCGGGAGTACCGGGATCGTATGACGACTTGCGTGCGGTCTCAGAAATGTTTCAAGGACTAGAAATTACTGGGATAGGTGCTAAGCTTCATTTTCCTTACCATAGACGTTCTAACTTGGTAGCCACTGTGTAAAGTCAGTGTGCGGCGAAATAGGAGGCCGTCGGTGACTTTAAGTGGCAGATTTGTTCCCACGCGTCACGCATCAGCAAACGCGTATGACTTTGACCCAAAGGCGATTGGAAGTCTATGGTGAGGTTGTGTAGCGGTTTGGTGCGCGCATGATAGTCGCTTTAGATATTTTATAAGTTGGGCCTGAGCAGTTACTCGGGCCGAATTAGGCCATTAGAGGTCAGGCGTACCGAACATCGCTTTGAGTCGATCATGTAAACAGTCGCGTCATCTTGTTGCGGTTCGTTGGGTATATTCCGTTTGTAGGGGGATTTTCTTGTATGCCGTAACACATTTGCCGAGTTTCGGCTGTACCGCGCACGCTGTCCGGGCCGAGTTCCACAGAGTGGTCCGTGTTCGGGACGTTCCGTTTGAGGCCCCTTCTTCGGTCTGTACTCTCCCCAATCGTGGTGCTCTATGACCGCGTAGCAGCCCCGTCTGTCTCCCGCCTCTTGCATAGTTTGGTTATCTTTTTCGCATTGAAGGCGTGCTTCGCCTCATTGTCGTCGTCTAATCTGAGAGGTTGTGCCCCCCAGTTACGCTAACTACTCACTGGTCAAGTACATGGAGCGGCACAAGGTGAAGCCCGACAGCAAATCGTTTCATCTGGTAAGCAAGACAAGGAGATCAGCTGCTGTTGTTCGCCTGTGTGATGTAAACAATGCCCACTGTAAACTTAGCTGGAGCGGTGTAGAGGGGGCTTCAAGTTCAGGGGTACCTATTGTCCACTGGATTCTGCCTTCAGTGCAGGTACAGCTCGTCGTGTTGCCCTGCATTTCCTGGCCTCGTTTCTGCGTGAGCACGTCCGTGGCGTGTTGGCACTCTTGACATGATTGTTGTCTCCTCCAGCTGCAGAAGCTGCTGATCATGGACCCGACCAAGCGTATCACCTCTGAGCAGGCCATGCTGGACGATTACTTCAAGGAGGACCCTCTGCCGACGTCCGAGTACGGTGCTGCCGTTCAGCTCGGGGGAGGGGGGAGCGGTAGCGGGACGGATCGCGTCGGCGCAAGTCAGTGCCGTAGAGCCTGCGGAGACATGTTTTGGTCACGGTCGTCTGTTAAAGGTGTCTCTCACTTTTAGCCGCGTTTGTGTTCGCCGCCGGGTTCGGGTGGCTACATCCACTGCAATTATCACAGCGTCCTAGAGATCCAGAGGAAGGGCACGCGTCAATGCGCGTGGCGTGGCTCCTGAGCAACAACATCCTACGGTCATAAACGTGTTGCAGCGTTTTCGAGGGGCACAGCATTCCATACCCGAAGCGCGAGTTCCTCACGGAGGAAGACCAGGAGGACAAGTCCTCCGCCAACAAGGTGAGAAAGGTACTCTGGCGGAAGGTGGCTGGACGCCCTGTGGCGCTCCTGGCTGTAGGGACGGTGGTACGCGCTGTGATGGCGACGGACCTGCTTTTGTCTGGGGGCGCGGCTGATCGTGCGCCGTGTGGGGTGGACGGACGGGGCTGTGGGCTGGGCGGGCCGGCGGAGGCTGTGGAGCGGACGGGCGGGGCTGTGGGCTGGGCGGACGGGCGGGGCTGTGGGTTGGGCGGACGGGCGGGGCTGTGGGCTGGGCGGACGGGCGGGGCTGTGGACTGGGCGGACGGGCGGGGCTGTGGGCTGGGCGGGCCGGCGGAGGCTGTGGAGCGGACCGGCGGGGCTGTGGGCTGGGCGGGCCGGCGGAGGCTGTGGAGCGGACCGGCGGCCGCTGTGGACCGGGTCAGCTGGCAGGGGCGGTGGTCGCGCATGCTCCGACAGGCCGAGCAGGGGCTGTCTGTTGCCACCCTGCACTTGGAGCACGTCACAGAGCTCGGCCGCCAATGAGGCGACGGAACCGCGCTGTGTTCTGGACGCCATACACGCGTGCTTTCTGAAGAGCCGCGGGCGTGCTCTATCGGACAGCGTGTCGGTGTGTGTCATCCGTCACACATCGCTGCTGAACGCAGCTTTTTGGCCGCACCTCGTGGGCCATCGCGAGTGAGCTGTTTTCTAAAATGTGCGAGGCGCGATGAGGTCAATACGGTATTCCGTTGACGGACGTACATTTCGGCGCATCTGCCGCTCCAGCTGCGACCACCAAGCGTTCGCAGGGCGGACGCGTGGGCAAAACCGCTGAAGGATAGGTAAATTGTAATATACCTCTTGTGAGGAAATGGTGGTACGGCACTGGATATACTAGAGATATACTGGACAGTGCCAGGTCATGACACCGGCGTTAGAGTTCGTTTATTTTCTTTGCCACGCCATTCTTCAGCAGGGTCCAATTCCGCATGGACGTCCATTGCTCAGTCTGCGCTCGCGCGCGTCACGTTCACGCTAGGAGTCTTGTGACCGTTTAACCTCTGTATGCACCATGTCCCCTCGCCGTGTCTCCCAAATAATACAGCCGGCCCTCGAGAAAAGCGAGGGAGCACCGGCGCCACGAGCTCGACCTCCGGGACCTCGACCTCTGAGCACGAGCAGCGGCCGACCCGACCCGGCCCGACGTCCACCGCCGCCGCCGCCGCCGCCGCCGCCGCCCCCGGCCACCGTCAGCTGAGTCGAGGCCGTCACGTGACCGTTGCCTTCGTGTGTTGCGGCGTCGCCGCCGCTCTGCGCCGAAATCGTCGCCCGTCGTGGCGCCGGCGAATCGCCGGGTCGTAACGGCACGGCTCGGGCCTCGCCGCTGGAGCCGCGCCAGTCCGCGGCTTCGCTCGAACCGAGGCTCATTCTGGCGGCGCGTGTGTGACACGTATCCGAGATTGTGGCGTGTGTGGCCGGCCCGCCGCGCGCCGCGTGTGGGCGCACGAGCCGCCGCTAACGCCACGCCCTGTGCGGCCAGGGCGCCGAGTCGCACGGTCAGGCGGCCAAGCGGGTGCGGCTGGGTCACGGCGGACCGCACCAGGTGACCTCGCAGGCCAGCGACAACCACAGCCACCAGATGGCGCGCCAGCAAGTGAGCACAGACGCGACGCCGCCGTCGCCGCCGACCCCCGGGGGGGGGGGGGGGGGGGAGGGTTAATGGCAAAGGCCCTCACAAAATCAAATCGCGCTACGTGCGACATTAGATATGCATTTCACTGTCGGTGATATTGCGAAAACATTAGTGGTGAACACTGTTAGGTGTCCTGTAGACAGAAACTTTGCGCTATGTTTTCGCGAACGAAGCCAGAACCAGTACCAGCACTACTTCTCGAACCGTAAATGGAGATCTAAATTGAGCTATGGAGAAGCCAGATCCGCTCGGCCACCAGGCTGGCGGCAACCTCGGATGCTGGAATGTCACCTTTTCATGCTGAAAAAGATCGTTACCGCGGTGTGGCATTGTTTGTCGCCCCGAGGCAGACCATCACACGTGCGCTGGGTGATTTCGTTGAGGTGAATGTCCGCATGGCCGGGCAGACTGTCCGCTGGGGCTGAGCAGCTGAGTTTTTTTTAGGACCGAAGACGTAACAAAGCTCCGCGGGTGCATAGTAAGACAGGCATGCGAGTTTACAATGGACTGGTGGCTCGCAGTTGATGTTCAGACTGACTGTGGGCGCCGCGATGCGCTACGCTGACCGAGCGCTGACCCGTGACCCGGCTGCGGGCGCAGCACTCCAGCCACATGGGCCAGCAGCAGCAGCAGCAACAACAACAGCAACAGCAGCAGCAACAGCAGCAGCAGCCGGGCAGCATGAGCTTCGGCCAGTCGAGCGGCGGGCCCAATCCAAGCCAGTACAGTCAGCGCTACTGAGGCGCGCTGCTGACGCGTACTGCCGCGCGCGCCGCCGACCGAGCCCGGCGGGGCGGACGGCCGCCGGCCGAGACCACCGCCGCTGCCGCCGTCGGCCCTTCAGGTCCGCCTGCGCAGCTGACGCTGTCGCCGGCTGGTCGCTCTGGGGCGACGCGCACCCGAGTGTGCGCTGTCTGGGTGTCCGCTGACCTGTGGCTCCCGTCCCGAAGGGTGGCGTCGATGTAGTGGCTCACGACGGCCGCTCGCGAGCCTGCAGTTAGGCGTCCGTTGTGCTCTGCGGACACTTGAGGCTTCGGTCAAGCGAAGGCACCATCGACAATATGTCACGCGACGAGAATGGAACGTAGCGGTCGCGCTCAGGACGTGCGGGACTCCGTCTGATCAGTTTTGATCCACGCTTTACATTAGCCCACCTTGTTTTGTACTCGTGTTCTGCGAACATCAAGGCTGATGGTGCCCTTTGTATTGGCTGCGTTCGTCGCGTAAGCCGCTCGGCGACCCGACGGCATCGGCGACCGGCTGCGTGACGGTGGACCTTGTTGCGCCCCGGCTCCGTGTTTGATATCGGGTCACTCGAGCCTCACGGGCAGCGTGTGTTATGGTGCGGGTCAGGTGACCCTCTCCCCCCGCTTTCCCCGTGAGCGGGGCTCGTTATTGGTTCTGTCCCTTCTAGCGGGAGGTGGAGCGCCGTTAGGACCTGACCCCCCCCCCCTACCAGCCCCCGCCCGCACCCGAGGGGGATGGGCACGAAGCGCGGCTGCCACTTGTGGAATGCTGCTCAGGACTTGGGCTTTGTACTGCAGTATCGGCTCAATTGATCTTCCTCATGAGTTAGGTCGTCAACCCCGCGGCTCTGTCCCGAGATGGATTTTTCTATAAAATACATGTTCATTCACAGTCCGTTTGCGATATTCGAGAATGCCCCATTAATGGGAGGTCAGCAGTTCGTGACGTAGCCGTGAGCTGCAGCCCGCACAGGCGAACAGGAGCTGATGACCGACAGCGGCAGCGTACAGTGCGGCCGATAGCGGACGGGGACCACCAGTCTGCGGCCGGCGCTACGCGTGCTTCAGTTGGGGCCGCGGGGTAGCACCGAGGGCAGCGGCATGCACAAGGCAGCGACGACTGGCCGCGCGCCGTCTCCGTCGCAGTCGGTTTGCTCAGTACAGCCCGCAATCTCGAAGTAACCTAGTCGTCTGCTTTATTCCGGTGTCGTGCTTAAACGAAAAGATAAAGCATTCATTGCAAGCCGGCGAACGAACTGGCAACTGGAACATGAACTAGAAAACGCGCGTAAAAAGGGATTACTTGGCGCTGCCCGCGGACGAGCTGAGCGGTAACGCATTAAACACGAACAGAGGCAACGGAAACTGACCAGCCGGCGACCGGCGCGGCCTTTTGGTCGTAAAACGTGGCGCGTCGCAGGCGCGGGTGAATGGAACGAACGAGGTCGGGCAACCCCTGCCCTTCTTTGCCCAATGACGAAAGCTGGAGCACTTTGGACTTCTCATTGTCGGGTCTCACACGCTATATTAACTGGGAGGAACTCAATACGTAATGGTGGCAGTGGGACGGCCGTCGAGCGGCGACGAGTCCTTAAAACCATGCCGCCATCCGATCAGACGTCTGGAACGGAAGATGCTCCCGGCTGCTTTCTCCGCCCCGGAGGTGAGCCACCGCTGATAAAGGACACCATGAGACGCGCGTGCTGGTGACTTGCCACACTGTCACCGGTCAGAGATACAGCGAGGCGACGCCGACTGCGTGACAGTGAGCCGGTAACCTTTCAAAGGTACAGCGAGTCGGCGCCGGCGCTGACCAGGTCCTCGATGTTGGGACTGCGGGCGGCGCGCAGGTAGTCTGTTGGCAGGGCCCACAGGGCGCCGGTTGGCGGCCGCTGGACGGAGGGCGCTGCTCCTCGCTGAGCGACCGACTCGGCCCTCCAGGCGACCCTGCGCACACGACACCCGTCAGCCGTCGCGCCAGCCATGCCACAACAGGCCAACGTCTCGGCTGGCCGTGTTGGCGATGGTTTGACTAGCGCAGTTTCAGTTTGGTGGTCACGACAAGGTACTGCGTTTTCCACTTGGTTTGTCTCGCTGTGCACGTTGCAGATGTTACAATGCCGACGCTGCAACCAACAACTGGCACAACGCACACACACACGCACACGCACGCGAGAGCGCGGACGGGCGGGCGGACAGCTGACCTGCCGTCCAGAGGCGGAGCTCGGTGGCCGGCGGGAGGCGTCCGGGCGCGGCCGGCCAAGCCGAGCCGTGCCGGCAGGCGGCACCAGTCGGCCGCCGGGGCCGGGCTCGGGCCGCCGCCCGCCGCCGGCTGGTACAGCGTCGCCTGGCCGCGCAGTGACGTCACGACCAGCACGTTTCGGGCTGTCGGTGGACGCCGAGCGTCCGACTTGGCACCGCCGGTTGAGACGCCGAACTAACGGTACATTCGGACGGGCGGGCGCACGCGCGATCACCCAAGCACGCAAGCGCGCACGGTCGCGGCCGCGCGAGTAGTGTTGGCAGACGTACACGCAGAGACTGGGATGCGCACACTCGCTCAGTCACCGCGTCGACGTGATGGCGAGTAGTGAAGTCACGCGTCTCCGCTACACTAGGAACACTCACCTGCAGAGCGTACGAGGGGAGGGCGGCGGCGGCGGCGGCGGTGGCCGGGCCGTGGCGGGCGGGCAGCAGCTGCGGCGAGCCGTTCTCCGGGGGACCGAACACGGCCGGGCCGCACCACTGCAGCCGACGGCCGCGCCTGTCAGCCGCCGGCAGCGGAGCGCCACTGCCGCTCGCAACCGGGCAGTGCCAGCAGGAAAACGCAGCTGGCGGGGGCCTACTTTGGCAGTATGGCAGTTTGTCATGGGCGTAGTTTCACAGAATGGGTGGGGAGCGCTGAACGATGAAAAATTATGTGTACCACCTCCAAATACGTTAACAAACGTGTTTTTTCCAGATTTGGTCCACTGACTTCTCGAAGATGGGGAGGGGGGGGGAGGGGGGCGGCTAGAACCACAAGTTCGGGGAGGAAACTCAACCCTTCCCAAGTGAACAGGAAACTACATCCCTAAGTCGTTTAGTTTCATGCATCTCGTGTCATCGGCGTGTGCACCGTCCTGGCCGTAGTGCTTTCCTTGTGGAGTCACGCTGCAAACTTAAGAGGAAGTGTTCCACATTTGAAGATATTGAATCGGTTATCAGATATGATGAAAATATCACTTATATCTGTTGGTGTGCTTTTAAGTGGAAAAGACTGCTCCGGACAATACAATATCTTTATTTAGTATATAGGCTCCTCAATGCGTTGTTTGATTGTGCCATCGCACCATGCATAGCATTGACCGAGAGCCAGTTGACAGCCATTATGTCTGGAAATTGCGCCCACGAACGCCATACATGAATAGCCTGACAATGCTACTTTTCTTGGTCGCGATCCGCGCGTGGATAATGGAATGGCAGGGTTTGGATGACGTTATTATGACGTAATGCGGCCTAAGGTTACCTTGAAATGCTGTACCACGATTACCCTCCAACATTTTTGCGACCTTTAGGCTCACGAACCAGAGGGTTTTAGGTCTTACAAAGGGCATGGCCGTGAGCTGCATCGAAAGGTATTTAATATAGCTATTTCAGTTCAAAACCCCAATGAAATGTGGAATACTTCCTATAAGCCTTCGGCCATCAGTTGTGTTCATTACGACGTACAATTTCCAGCAAAGGACACCTTTAGCCCTTCAGATGCCTGCAATCCTGTTAACACGCGCCCGGGTGGCCACCTAGACAACCTTCGCTCGAGTGGGGGAGGGTCAATTTGACCCCCCCCCCCTCCCTGTCAATTCCCCTGAGATCTCGGGAACTAAGAAAGCTAGACACCAAATTTACCGGGTGTCTTGACCTGTACGTTAACTCACTCAAGTCAAAGTTTCAGGCTCCTAGGGCATGACCTTCGGGTCAAAAAAGGTCAAACAAGGTAAAGTTTCAGGTTGGTCTCGAAAAATGCCCCCAGAACGTAGATAACCGTTAATAAGCAAAAGGTCACATTCTCGTCTAAGGTCAGTGACCTTTTTTGACCTTTTGAAGGTCAAGACGACAAAAATCACACAAGATTGCTTTGCGTTTTGCATTTGACTAAGCGACAAAGATTACGCTAGGCAGTATGTTCCTAAAACAAAATGTTGACCTGGGTCATTCTAGGTCAATGTCTTATTTTGACCTCTAAGAAGTCAATGGAAGATGTATAATGCGGTTCCTGCCATCAGTTAACTCAAAACGAGCGCCAGAAACGATTTCATACAGCAAGCCCTAGAGTAGTAAAACAGATTGGTTTTGACCTTGGTGTGACCTTCATACCTGACCTTAGTTCAATTCAATTTTCTCATCAACTGTTGTGTTGCCTAAGAAAGCATCTCAGAGATGTATGGCCTCGTCTAACACTCCGTTGTTGGATCAGGGTGAAGAATTCCCTAGAAATTTCCGTCGCTGAAACCGTGGCCTGACTTTGACCTGCCATACGTCAGCGACCTTACAAGGGACATCTAAATTTTTAATGCAAAACGATCTGTTAGTCGATTGTTTACAGCTATGAAAAAATTGGCACGGCTACGCCGCGCCGTTCGGAAATCATTCTGGAGAAACCTTCGGAGGCGGGGGTCAATGTGACCTCCACCCCACCCGAGCGCGTGTTAAAGTTGCGTGCCGCAGAGGTTAGCACAACGCAGCCTTCAAACCAGGGCAACGACCTGACTTGGGCGAGGCGTTCGTCTGTTCCAGACGCTCGCGAGGACATTTTCTCGCCACTGACGCCTCGCTGAGTGCGAGTGTACGCTCTGTCACGCTGGCCAAGTGTGAGACCTCCCCCCCCCCCCCCGTCCACACTTGACCTCCTGACAATCTTCCCACGGCGGTGCGCGTGCCGTGCGCCCACAACGGTGGCTTTAGCCGGCACTACAGCCCTCTAAGATAGAAGTTGCCCTGTCACGCGTGAACGGCTCCACTTGCTGGCGACCATTCCGGCGTGACATGCTAGAAAGTTGACCTGCTTTTTCGTGCACGGACGCGGAGGCCAGTCAGCAGATTAGCATCAAAGCAGTGATGTGCTCTGGATTTGCTGTTTGGCTTCCGCGCGCCGCTACGGATGGTGACCGAAGTTTCCCCAGCATGCGCCGGCACCCATGTTCGGGTGGCTTTGGGTTACCGGCACTAATTCTTCCGTTCGTATTCAAGCGCAATTTAACAGGTATGTGGAGGCGATACAAACATTTCATCTGTTTCTACGTGAATCGCAACATCGCAGTGACCCGCTTATCGATAAATTAGCCGGCCGATGCGTTAGACGAAACGCTTGGAAAGAGCGTAGCATAGTTTGGTGCATGCTAAATCCATGCTTCTCCGGCAGTACATTGACACACCAAAATCAATAGGCAAGATGGGGACCGCAAAATTAAGGACCACTAGATATCAACCCTCAAAAACTTACTACGCAAAATGTTGACACCATAAAATACTGACACGGAAAATATCGACGTCCAATATATTGGTTCCATAGCTGAATACCAATGAGCACGGATAATTCCAAAAAAGTTTGTTCCAGGGCATGAAATACAATGAAAACTTGACCGTTAAACCATCGCATAAATGCGAAAGTTTGTTTTGTTTTGTGGCTTATACCAAGTGAATTGCATTGAGAAAGCCACAGGTCTCCAGAAAGCATCAGAGTATTTTCTGCCGTCCAAATCTAACCAAACGTCTGAGAATCGAACGAGTGGTCAGGTAAGTCAGCTGCCGGTAAGACCTACAGCCGGGTCCAGAAGGGCCCACCTGACACACACGGTCGGCCTCGTAGGTCATCGGCCGGTAAGACGTACAAGCGGGTCGGGGCGGGCTCACCTGATACGCAGCCGTTTCGCAGCAGGCGGCGACCCTGCAGCGGGACCCTGACTCGTGTGAGTAGACCGGCTGCGGCCGCGGCAGCCGGCCGCCGGAGAAGACGGGGCTTTGCAACAGGGCCCCGGGTGCCGAGGCCGCTACCGACGCCGTCGTAAAGAACGCGTCACACGATGCGTCAAGCTGGCGTGTCACGTGGCATGTGACACTGACACGTGACGCGAGGGCAGCTCCATCCGGGGCCACCGTTCATTTCCGTGAGCCCTGGCTCTACTCGTAGTTGTTGGCGGCAGGCCTCAGCCGGCGGCCCCGTCTCTGGCCAGGCTGGCCGGCCCCAGCACCATCAGAGGGGGTCGCCACAGGCGACGGCAGGGCTGCACGGCGCGACATTGTCTCTCGCGGCTGACACGGGTGCTGGTGTGCACGGGTACAGCATGGCAATCACGGCCAGTATGTACTACTGAAAGAGGGTTAGCCCTGTATGATATGTACGTAGCCTTCTCTTATTTTTTGGAGTACTCAGGCAGAAAGACAGGTGGGACAGTAGTTTTGGAGTACTCAGGCAGAAAGGCAGAAAGACATTGTAAAGATAAAGAACAAGCGGGGGAGAGATGCAGTATAATCACACATCAGATGTCCATCGCCGGCGCCATGTGCCGGTGCCGGTGCCGCCCGGTGCTGACCTGCGATCGGCAGCGTCCTATCGCAGGGCGCTCCGGTGTTCTGGGCCCAGACGCCGGCCGGCCGGCAGCAGCCGCCGGCGTGCCGGTGCGAGGCGGCCAGCAGCAGGCCGGAGCGCACTGCGGGAGAGCCGCCTGCCGCTCCGGTCACCGCCGCGCGGGCTGACGCGCGGCTCTGGCAGCGCTCCTGGCGCCGTCACAGCCGCTGCCACTGATCTCATCCAACTCTGGGTCACAGTGCGAGGTGCGAACAGTCGGCTGACTCGTACTCGATGCAGGTCTACCGCCATCGTGGTCACCAGGCATTACCTGTAGCCGTGAACAATAGCTGCAGCACGGTCTAAGCCATGCTCCCAGTGTTCAGCCGGTATGCTTAACTCTGGCAGTGTGCCGAATCCATTCGTGCTCGGAAAACTGGCAACAGTTCGACAGGCTGCCAATGTTTTAAAAGTTCTAAACATCACCCTGCTGGAATATTTAAACAATATGGAACGAGTGTTTGTTTCTATTACACCGCTTTTCAGTCGTGTTGTTAGCGCTTTTGTAACGCGTGTATATCTTGGCATGGCAACATGATAGCTGAGTTGACAATACGCTGGTGCAAAGCTGGCAGTATTCTAGCTGCTAGGCTTTAACACAAAGTCCATTTGATGGAGTTGAATTGCTATCAACCTTTGGTAATAGAAAAGAAGGCAGTTTTGCAAGTCAGCCTGGCTGCCTAAGTGAGCTGTCTTTGGTGCGACATTATAGGACTAGACATATATTATAAGGCTAGAAATACAGCGTCTATTTCAAATGGTAAAGATTGGCAAACTACGATTTGCAAATTGAAAAGTCAGCAATTTTAGATAGGCAATGTCTCCGACTCTAAACTGGCCAGGCATAAGGCACGCATTAAATCGAAATATTGCTCGGCACGGAACGGCTTCCGATGAGGATGTATCGCTGTCAAACTGACCCACCTGCTGTCCAATGCTGGGACTCGAGCCGGTTATCTGCGCACCAGTGCGCAGCGTCGGTCACGTGACCACCGCCGCTGACAGGGCCTTGTGCCAGTGGGTTGCCGTGACCAGCAGGGTAGAGCACCACGTGATTGGCCAGGCTCACGGGCCCGCGCAGCGCGTGCTCGCCATAGTCAAGCGAGGCGTGCGTGAGGGGGTCGTACTGGGCCGGCTGGCCGTGGACGAGGCCGTCCCCCTGCATGGACTGACCGATGGCGAGACCTTCTCCTTGAGTGACGCCATACATGAAGCTGTCTCCATGGACGGCTTGGCCACACGCACTATCTTCGTAAGCGGCCTGGCCGTGCGCGACGTCTCCGTGGATGACGAGACCTTGAGGGAAGCTTCCGTGGAAGGTCGGGCCCTGCGCGGCGTTCGCGTGGAAGGGCTGGCCGTGCGCGGGGCTCAGCGGGCCGCCGTACATGCCGTCGTGCCGTGCGCTCGCGGCCTGAGGCGGCGCCGGCCCCGCGCGCCCGCCGTGCGCCCGCGGCGCCGCCGCCCGCACCTGGAGCGGCGCCGCGGCCGGCGGGTCGGTCAGGTCGGCGCCGCCTGCCGGCGGCGGTCCGGCGCCGGAGGTTTCTGACCGGCTCACGGGCGCTGACAGTCGTCGCTGGGTCTGGCGGCAGCATTCAACATAGCGGCGTTCGTCACTGTGCGCTGGTCGGCTGTGGTCTACACGACAGCTGCCTTCCCACCGCGTAATTTGACGCATGTCCCAGAGGTTGGCGCCATGGGGCGACAGCTCAGTCTCGTTCTCATGGTTCATTATGCAAAACATGACACGATTGGCGCACAGATACGCACACGTTGCTGGCTTTCCACGCAGCCGTAGCTAAAGAATATTGCACTCATTAAGCAGCAGTTCTTAGCAGAATAACAATGAATATTCTGAGACGGCAAGTTCAGTGAACTTAAAAAATATGAAAACTAAGGCATACCCACTGCTGAAGTTCTATTACCCCTGGTTCATAGGCTTGCTATCTGCAGTGGATTTGGGCGCTTTTAAAAACGGTTTGATGACGCTGAGGTACAATACAAAATAAAGGCGCAATGGGCACGCAAATGCGTACACGTCAGACCTTACACGCAAACTTGATGAGATGCTTACCAGTGGTATAGTTTCCCAGTCAGCTGGGGGAGGGACGGGGTCTCCAGGCTCACCAACTTCGAATCCAGCCCCCACCCGCTCTTAGTTTTGGGAAGTATGTGGGCCAAATCCCGGAGGAAATGGTTTGCGTTTTAGGTAGGCGTTATTTGTTTGCAGTTTATTCCGCTGAACTGCTTTTGCGAACCTGCGCCCCGAGTCCTTGCACTCATCAAGCATCGATTTTGAGTACGACGTTCTACCGTCATTATGTTTGTGCATTTGCAGAATGTAAACATTATCACATACCCGTTGTCGGTGTGCTGTAACCCTGGTTGATGGGAGCTCAATTTTCAGTGGATTTGTACGGGTTTCAAGACGGTTTATCTTCCGAGTACTAATTCCAACGAAACTCATGTATTACAGGCAAAGGAATGTTTTAAAAATTATGACTGGTAGGGTCGGGGTAAACCAAGTAAGTTTTCCTGGGAGGCCAGCGCGACGACCAGATTGCGGGGGTGGTGATAAAGTACTTTGTTCCCTCTTTATTCACATAGCACCTTCTGGAGATAAGGAAATGTCCTGGCTACTGTGCTAGATTTACACGTATTACTGTTTTCTACTGGTGCACAATTTTACTAAACGACTCATCTGCCGTGTAGCTCACTCTTGAGCTACACGGCAACACTGCAAGAGCTACACTCCCGAGACCACCTAGCTAGAGCTACACTGCCGAGACTGCCTAGCTTCCTAACACTAGTTATCGTTTTCAACGTTTTTTCTCCTAGGGAAGCCAAGTTACAATAGTCACAAAATTACGAAAATAGCGGTTAGGCATTTTGTTTAATTGCCAGAATATCTGCCTCCACACTTAACAGATCAAAACATGGCGTGGGCATAGGCTGTTCAGAACTTTGAATTCTAGTCCATGGCTATAATGTACCAAAGTTTTCACATGCCTGGATTTCACCAACTGCTGTTAAAAGATAACTTTTTGCCACGGCATTTTAGACAGAAACCAATTCTGAAGCTTCAAATCATGCCTGCCAAAAGCAGTGTGGCAAAAACCATGATACTGGGTTTTGTTCTGTAAAAAAGAAGTGGCGGAATAAAGGACCTTCTTTCGGATGTTCCTTGTCTGAGCCCACCTTGATGACCACCGCCTGGGACCGGATGTCCACCATATGACTGACCGCGAACTGACCGCATGACAGCTTGTCTGTGTGTTTGTGAATCAACATCAGTACTTATTGGCGTTTCAACCTTATTCCATTCCTTGGACGTAGCCGGCTTGATCCGCTTTTGTACGTTAGAGGACGGTAAGCACTTTTCTCAAATAAGTTGCATGCTTCTGTAATGTCTTCGGAGTCTAGGGTAACCCGGCATTTTAGGAAAAAGAACGTGTTTTACATATTGCCGGCTTCCCTGCATCGTCCCTCAAATCACCAGCATTACGCTGTCTAACTGAAATTTTAGTCGTTATTTGAAATATCCACCCGGCTTCAAGCACCTTTTGTAATCGCCATTATTTACATTATTTGCCTGACGAATGTATGCAGTTTTTAGGCAGTTCAAGAAACGCTCTAAATAAGACTGACTAACCATGCGTGGTACGTTTGTCCCACGTTTTGTGAGTTGTCATCTCATGTTTGATTTTCGATTAAATGACGCCGCTTCTCAGTGAGGTTTCACTTTACATGGGGAAAAACTAAAGAACAGAAAGACTAGAATCTACATAGAACGTATGGGACTGTCATGTCATGGCTCATATTCAATTAAATGATGGAAACTGTCCATTGAACTTTCGCCTTATAGGACGGAACTACTTGCGCGAAGTGCCCAGGCATTGACCATGAGGCTCTCAGTCATAGCGAGCTTGTGATTCGGTGGTCGATCATTGTGGAATATATTACTCGCGCTGGACTTTACACTAATTGTTATATGTATATATATATATATATATATATATATATATATATATATATATATATATATATATATATATATATAACAGTAACATAGGTTTACGCTGGGCCCAGGCGATTGGTGGGGGTGGCGGTGACGGCTGTTTTTGTGGCTGACTGACGCGGCCGAGGTCGCGGTGCCTGCGATGACATGGCCGGGGGTGATCCCTCTGCTGATATCGGGCGTCGGGCAGCGTCTGGCGCCGCCGCCGTCTGCGCGTATTCTCCGCGACCGCATGGCGCGGTCCGGTGGAGTAGGCCCGAGGCTGGTCCATCCGCGTTCTAAGCCTCGCCACCTGCTGTTTGCGACGGCCCGCCTGTGCACCGCGCCGGATGTCGTGCACATCCGCTCTGGTGGCATCGAGGTCGTGGTCGCGCTGAGCGCAGGGATGTCGTCCGCTTCCGGCGCCGCCGACCGACGGCCCGGCGGGTCGGGCGCTGTGCCGGCCGACCTCCCCAGTGCCTGGGCGTGCCGGATGACGGCCCACGCCCGGGCGCCTGCGTGCCCCTGCCGCCACCACGCCCGGGCACCTGCCTGCCCCTGCCGCCACCACGCCCGGGTGCCTGCCTATCCCTGCCGCCAGCCGTGACCCACACTCACCGCAGCGCACTGCTGTGTAGTCATTAACGCTCTGTCCCGTTGTGTGATTTTTTGTGTATGTCATGAAGATAGTGAGGGGAAATGAGGACGACAACGGCCACGACAAAGACGGCCTTTAAGAGGCGATGCATACGTGATAGAAGCCCAGGAACGACACGGAGTCTTAAAACTACCATAAGAAGACAGAGTTATTCTCTCGTTCTCCTGCTGATAAAACCATCCGTTTCGACCCACCTCCGGCAACAGCCCGTTGGCTGAGAACGACTCCAGCAGTTGGGCCACCTCCATCAGCTTGGCCCTGGTCTCCGTGCTGGGTCGGCCGTCTCCGCCGCAGCGGGTGCCCCCTTCAGCCATGCCGCTCGCGGTCGCGCGCGCTACATCAGTCACTCCTGCAGCGGACAGTCAGCGTGACGGCACTGGTGGTGGCGGCAGCGTCACCCACGGCGGCGCGCGTTCCCATCGTAAGCCGTCCGCCAGCTGCTATCCTAACAGCACACATTCTACGTTTAGTTGACATGCTCCCGAGTACGTCATTTTTATTGCATCATGGAATGTTTTCATGACGTTCAGACGCTGCCAAGCCATGTGAAATTGCCACCCTAGCAATTTCACAGTCAAATCTGGCAATCCTAGTCAAATCCGGCATTTCAACACGCCGAGGGGTGGCAGGAGCGGTGTTCAAAGTATCCGCTGATTCAAAAATCGCTACGTGCTGGTGTTTTGGCTTTGTTTCGTGGTCGTCTTGCAAATTCATTCTTGAGTTCCAAAATTTAACTTGCATTCACATACCTGGTTATGACACAACATGTTTTTCAACATTCCGTTCCCTATAATAACTAGCAACCATGTTCAGGTATTATATTATGCAGCAGAAAACATGATTCGTGATTGGAGCTTGCGCGGCTTGCTCAACATTGATTGGAGACCAACTGACGTCCACTGCATTTGGAACCCACGTTTGTTAACGCTAGATCTGAACGGTTTGACCACAGATGTATTGGCCTCTAGCACTGCGTGGCCTATGGGGTGGCAGGATTTAAATGGCGTTCCTTTTTTTAAAGATTTGATCCGAACCCTTTGAACGGATGGATTTCCGGGATCAGAGCTCACGCTAAGCAGTGCTTGTTGTGTGAGCCCTGACCCCTACCATCCGATCGCGCAATTCCAGGCAACGGCAGAATTTGGTGGCGAAAGCTTAACGTGCCGCAATGCTCGGCACGGTCCGTCCTGCCCTCTGACATCAACTGACCTTTAGCGGGACCGCTGCCACCGGCCGCAGGCCATACCTGTCAAGGGCAAATAGCGAACTTACATCACACCTTTGGTGTGATGTAAGCCTTGAAATAGTTTGCACGAAATAGTCTGCACATATCTGCAGGCCTTTAGCTCAGAAATTGGAGGGCTTTAGGTTCAAAGAACGGCAAGAATGGTGAACTGCACCGAATGATTCTCAAAAGGCTGTTTCGGTTCAAATTCCCAGACAAATGTAGAACTTTCTCTTATCCTGCTCGTTTAAAAGATAATTTCGTTCTTGAACATAAGCAATTTATTGATCAAGCACACCAAAAAACACACTTCTTGAAACATGGGATAGAAACACTCAACGAACATGCCGGCACGCATGTCTTAGGCTATGCGGCTTGCTGAGATGGGACCGCGAGCACCGATTTTCGTAACATTCGCAGTTCGCACGACTTTTGGATCTCCGTTTTACAGCTGTTGCTTTTGTGACAACAGATCGATTTTTTCAAATTGGAAATTTTGTGACACGCCGATTTTTGGGACACTTCTCGACTGGACAGCTGATCCATCCTTGGACTTTCGATTGGACTTTGGACGAGAACTTCCAGAAAACAACACCTCTGCTCGGGACGGTGCGAAACAACCCAGGGTGAGACAAAAATCGAAGACCTGTTGAGCCGCGGTGCGGTTTGAAGCTGGTTGTCATAAGCCCTTTATATCAGGGGCGTCAATCTTTATAAAGTAGTGGAGGCGGGGGGGGGGGGGGGGTGAACCGAAGGCCCGATAACCTTCCCCCCATTTTTCTCCCCACCGGATTTAGGCCATAATCTTTGTGTAATTTATAAGTCTTTAATTCAAGCAGTATAGAAGTAATGCAGGATTGGATCCAGGGCGCTGGCACTGGACGCACGCGTCCCTTCTGATCGGCACGCGAAGGCGCCCCTTTAGACGCCACCTTAGAGCGCCGATGGCGCTCTTCTGTGGCGGTCATGGGAGGCGGCACGCAAGTTGGCTGTGGGGGCGGGGGCGGGGTTATCCATTAAGGACTTCGGTCGTCCCCATATTCCAGAGCCTTTCACTTTAACCTCACAAACCATTGCGTGTCTTATGGCGCTAGGTATGTGAAGTTTATTGCATTGTTTATTTGCTCAGCTGTTACGATTTGTATCTTGTGGTGAGAATAACGATGGGTTTTTGTTATAAGAGTGGTGCAAGACGCAAATACGCAGCAAAATAAAAAAAGACAGTCTTTGTGTTATGAGCATCCTTTACACACGAGCTTTGTAATATTCCAGCGAAAGGCATTGGGGGGGGGGGGGGGGGGTAAGCCAATATTAGTGCGGGCAGGCCCAACTCAACATTGGGGGAGGAGGAGGCAGGGACCTCACAAAAGAAAACAAATCGACACCCGCGTTTTACACACATCGCCCGTACCGGACTCGGCGACCGGACTGGCTGGCGACGGCCTCGCTGTCTTCTCGCGGCGCACCAGCTCGCGCGCCTGCTTCCGCATGCGCGCTTCCTTCGGGCTGTACACGTACGCTGAAAAGACAGCGGTCGGCCCTTAGTGCGCGTGTCAGGGAGGTTGGGGGAGCCTGACGATATGTACCGCCGGGTGCGGGTCAGCGATGCCACCTGGTCTTGACGGCGCGCCTTCAGCGTGTCATCTCGAACTTCGCGGGCGCATCCGTGACCACGGCTCAAATACTGCTGAAACATTGAGCAACGAAGCGTGCTCGGCATGTAATTGTTTGCTGTAACGGGATTGCATTGGTGGAAAGCATTTATGCTACCATTCTTTTCGATGATGTGTGGGATAAACAAATGTGTGGCAGTAAGAGCTTTTGCTGACGCTGAGTGGTTGTCTATAACGCTACTCCGTCATGCAATGTCGAAAACCTAATGCTGCTGTTTCAAATTCGTGCTAGAAGCGAAGTGACTGATTATTCCGTTCCCATCTACATCAAGTACATTTCAAGGTGCAGATCACAAACCTGCCACTCGAAACTTTGTGCAAGGTCAAGTCCGAGAAACGTGCGCATCAAAAGACTTAATTGGGCTGAAACCACGCCCAAGACGCTGTGGCGTCACCAACCACCAGCGATCTGACGCCGCGCGACGGAGTTTTACACGCCAACAGGGTTTTCTATCTTTCGACACGTAACTTCAAGTACATACTCCGCTCCGCTGCTCTGACTCGTCAATTTATCCTGAATCCTTACAACACCCCTGACTCTTGGGACGATCATCAGCAATGGGCCGGCTCAAGTGCTGTATTCCCAATAACCGGCCAACTCTTGTGCTGTGTCACATGCATGCCAATTCAATCAGTAGAGGTCGCCCGATCCGGTGGCACTAAAACAAAATTATGCTTACTGAGATTTTGTCTACTTCTGAGCATGCTTAGAAAATTAGATCGGTCGGATCTATTTTTTTGTATCATAGACGTTTTCTTCTTCTTCGCATTTAGTTAACAGGTAATTTTTAGCGATCGTATTTAATAAAATATTCGTCAAAGACCAAAAATAAACAGTGAGGCGATATACACAAGCACGCCTACATTTTACATAGCAGTTTACTAAATGGTTGTGAGAAAGGTGTGCAGAAATTGATAGTGAAATGTTCAACTGATTTTGCAACAAAACGTAACTGTTTTGATTTGAGATAAAAAGCAAGGGTTCGAAATGCATGAAAAACTTAATGACGTTTCCATATCCCTCATCCTGCGAGCACCGAATCGGACCTCGCGAGCGCAGGGTCCGCGGCGAGTACCCCAGAGTCCCCTTCCCTTGCGTCGTCTGAGGCTGTCTGAGGCGGCGAGCAGAGTGAGAGGAAGGGTTTGTGATGATTGGTTTGCTTTTAAGTGTTAAAGGGAATTTTCAACATTTGAAGGTACGAAAGGAAGCATCATATATGATGAAATAAGCTCACTTACAACTATTAATACACTTTCAAGTGCAAAATACTATTCTAGACAGCAAAAATGCCTTATCTGGTAAATATATCGTTCAAAAGGTCATTGATTGATTGTGCCATGAACAATTTGCACGGCGTTAGACGAGCTGCCAAACTGGCAGTGCGAAATTGCACCCTAGCAATCACTTGTAGTACCTCAGTCTCTCGAGTGATATCCGTGACGGTGTTGGAGATGTTTGCTGAACACAACATTGTCATGTGCTTGTGTTTTAGCCCGTTCTGGTGGCGCGCTTGTATACTTGTCCCTGAGCTTAAGCTAGCTACTTGTGTTCAAATACTTGGTTATGGTGCTATTCCAATTATTCGATTACAGGCCTGATTTTCGTATCAAATAGTACCCATGGTCAACTCCCTTTGTAACGCAACACAAAACGTGATTGGTGTTCGAAGCGTGCGCTGAGTGCATAACATCTGACTGAGAGACAATTTAGTCCGTTGTAACTGGAGACCATGCTCACACCGGGCATGAGCGACTCGACAATTTTGTTTGTCTTGGCCTTGAACGCTGCATAGCCAATGGGGTAGCAGCATTGGAGTGGCGTTTCTGTCGCGTCATGCATGCCGGAAAGACTTTGGAATGGTCTGCACGAGGCAGTCTGCACATTTCGCGGGCGAATAGCTCAGAAATTAGGGGGTTCTAAGTCTTAAGAAGGGCAGGACTGTAAACTGCACGATATGATGTTCAGAATGGTTATTTCAGTTCAAACCCTCTACAAGTAGGGAACACTCCCTCTTAACACTGTTCTAGAGAACATAATTCCACCATTTCGAAAATATGTTGCTGAACATGCCATCGTTTTATTGCATCATGCAACTTTCTTATGACGTCGAATCGCTGTCGGATTGACCACGTCAGAACTCCCGTTGCAGCAGAGGGGCTGACTCACTTGTAGTAGTAAAATTTGCTGAGAGATGGTACATGTTACTGGAGTGTGTTTGCGACACGAAATGTCGTTATGAGCTTGTGTTTTGGCCCCTTCTCGCGGTGTTCTTGCATATTGGTCCGTGCTTTTATATTACTTGCATTCACATGCTCGGATACGACGCCGCTGTAAATTATTCGATTCCCAGTCTTATTTCTATCATAACTCGTACCCTTTTCCGGCTTTCTGTATATTATCGCACAAAACGTGACTCATGTCCGAATTATCTGTCACTTCTATCCTGTCTCTCACTTCATCCTGCATCCTCGCGACACCCCGTCCATCCATGGCGGGCTGCATGCGCCAGTCACGAGTAGGCCGTGGAGCCCTCGTGGGGTGCTCGTCCGCGCGCTACTCACACACCTCACATAGCGGTCCCGGTGCGCGCTCAGTTCCAGCTGTTGGGTCCCCAGATGCATGCAAATCTGCCGCTATCCATATGATCATTACCTGCCAAAGAGCTCTAATCCATGATTTTAGCACTAAAAATTTGCCGTGGAATTACGGCGAAAATTTAACCTGCTTGGCCCTGCTCGTCCTGCAGGCCATCAGTGATCCCCTGACTTATGCCGCACCCGCCTCTGCTGGCCGCAGTTCATGCCAACAAGCCAAAACAATAAACGAATAAAGCGACTCGAACCCTCCCTACCACCAGCAGCCGAATCCGAGTGCAGGCGCTCCAAATAATTGACCTATTGTAACTGACTGAGAAAATGAAGGTAAATATCACTTGCTCTTTTTTAGGGTACGATTTGGGAAAAACATTGGCACCTCCGGAATAACAAAGCGACACAGTTGTTGGGAAGAAGAATAAACTATGCCACAATCAGATGACCCAAGTTTTTTGTAAGATTACGTGAGACTGCCATGTGGAAAGGGTGATCAGACCACCACAAATATATTTGAATACATTGTGTTTATCTAACCTAGAATTTGGACCTGGCATTAAAATCTTTCACTAGCAAGACCAGTCATGTATTTTGGTTGGCTGCAGCCAAATATTCAGATACACACCAAGTCTCAGACCCAAGGGTACGCCAGTTTTGTTTATCGATGCGTTTATTTAGGCCGTGTGTTTCCGTCCAAGGCCTCGCAAAATCGGTCCAATATGCTCAAATTTCAGCGTAACGTCACAATCGTCATTCCCAAATGAAAGTCAGATACAACCACCAACTTAAGCCCGGGTAACATGGTTTTGCTATGCTTTGCTGCTCTTGTTTTGCAATATTAATTACATATTTAACAATACGTTGTTTCGTTAATCCGGAGGTGTCGATGTTTCTTCCTGAAATGCTAAATTTGCCCGCGCCGGAACGCCTGCATTCAGATTCGCCTACTGGTGGCGGTGAGGGCTCGAGTCGCTTCATGCGCCCATTATTTGCCACTGGCTAGCATGCACTGCGGCCAGCAGCAGCGGGTGCGGCAAAAGACAGGTGACGTCAGAAGATTCTGCCCTCAGGGTAGGACGTGCGGGCCAAGCAATGCGACACGTTAAGCTTTGGCCGTAAAGTTCTCCTGTTGACCCGGGGTTTCACGATGGGATGGCGGTTTCAGGGCTCACGCAACAAGCACCACTTAGCGGGGAGGTAATCCCAGAAATGCGTCTTACAAAAGTGTTAGGGTTAAATGTTCAAAAAACAGGCAACAAAAGAAAACTGCCGCTGCGATTCCTTATTTTCTCTTCCGTACATTCTGCCGAATAAGGCGAAACATGGCGACGTATGCTTGCCACCCTTTTTTCTGACATGTGACAGAGCCGAGTGCAAAGCAACCGCTTTAGCTCACTTCAATTTCGGTCGAGCTTCACTACCAAATCGTCAAAATCCACCCTTCCATACCTCCATCACTGCACCCCTCTGATCTGTATGCTGCCGAGAGTTCGCTCCCGCATCAGGAGTGTTTCGCACAGCAGTTTTGTGCTACGTTACACTTCCAAAGGTTCCAAAATCGACCTCTGAGAAGTGAGGCGCACTGTAGCGCGAAGGGTCTTTATTTCGGCTGTAGCTGTACATATATGATATCTCGCAGACCTCATGCATGACGAAATGTGCGGCTCTGTGCATCCAGCTCCCAACTGAAGTGGCCGAACTAAACCCACATGGTTACTGGCATGAATACTCACACATGGGTACCTCAACTCACATGGATACATGCGCTTGTGTTCCGCCGCTGCGTCCTTGGCCATTTGGTAATAGACGCTCTTGTAGTCTTGGCCCATGGCCTTCCACATGCAGCCCAGCCGTACGGATATAGCCTGGTTATTCTCGTTGGGGAAGGCGCGGGCCAGCAGCTTTCTGTTGGGGCAAGCATGCTTGTCACATGACACCGTTCAGCCCACAGTAACGGTGTCAGCAGACGCGGCCAACACATGATGCGGGTCACACTGACGGGCGTGGCACAGGTAGAACACAGCGCGGACACACTCAGTGGGACAAAGAGCCCGATAAGTGACCTTTAAGCAAAAGTCTACCTACCTCGAAATATTTTGTGTTTGTGACTTACAACATCTCGGCCGTTGCTATGTGCGGTCGTGTCACCATTTACCTCCATGGGGTGACTTAACGTCATATGAGGTTCTCACATTATCTGCCACGACAATGACCGCGAATGACCCCGACGTTACGAATCTGCATGAGCATTGCTGATATTCGCATGATGTAAAAAGTCTAAGAGCGTCATCGGAGCCGATTTTTTAACGCTTGACGTGATAGGAACTAAGTTTGAGCGAACCGTTGGCATCATAGCGTCAATATCGATGCATGACTGATGGCAGTTATTATTTTTTATTGTATAGTGGTCGCAGGGTGCGAAGTTAAGTCAACTTCAGCATTGCATTGGACAAGTCCATCACTTCGGATGACCTCACCAATGGCCAGGGTCTCAAATGACGGTTCCCAAGCGAAAACGTACTCTTGTGCGTTAATAACTGCGAAGAAGCAGTATGGTAAAGCTGATACTAAAAGGAATGCAAGCAGTAACAATGTGATGCATTGTTACTGCTTAAAGTATCTACTCGATAGTTTGTTGAAGGGAGTGTTCCACACTTGTATGGGGGCTTAAGCTGAAATGGTTATCTTGAAGAGCATTCGGTGCAGTTGACAGCCCTGCACTTCTTTAGATCCAAACCCCGCTAATTTCTGAGCTACACGCCCGCTAGAATACGCAGACTTTTTCGGGAAACTATGCCAAGGTCACCCGGACATCCACCACGCAATAATAACGCCACTCAAATCTTGCCATTCTATTGGCCATGAAGCAAGGCTAACAATTATATTCGCTGAGTCGTTCACATTTGGCGTTCGAGAGCATGATTTCCATGTACAACGGCCGTCAGTTGACTCTCGATGTTGTGCAAGGAACGATAAGGTAATCAAACAGTGACGTACTGAGGGACACATTAAATAAACAGATAAATGGGTTGTCTAGAGCAGTCTTTTCCACTCAAAGGTGTAGCGATAGTTATAACTGAGCTTACGTCATATCTGATCTTGCCTCAACATCTTCAGGTGTGAACATTCCCTTCATCGTCTTACCCAGAGCCGTACCATACTGGTACTTTCACAAAATATGCACCTAACTGAGCGTACAAAGGTTGAATCAAAAAAACGTCTTCGATAACAATTTAGATCGTTAGAATGCCGGCTTGTAACGCTGTGACGGAGAAAGGACATAAACGACCTCCATCACATACATCTCGACAATATTTCAATACTCCCAGCTACAAAACTTAAAATGTCCTAGAAAACGGCCAGAACTTCGCCAACCGTTGCAAAAAAAAACTTTCGATTCGGTGCTTGTCCTATTATCAAAATGACAATCCGGGCTAGACATCGTGGATAACAATAACACGCGTAACACACTGCACGACCTGAGCAACGCGGGCAATAACAGCACACCCCAAATAATTGAGTTCCGAGTGCCGTTATAGTAAGCTTAAAGTGCCGTTACAGTTAGTTTATAGTGTCGTGATAATAAGTTTATGGTGGCGTCATGGTAGATTTATAGTACCGTTATAGCTGGATTATAGTGCCGCCATAGCTAGTTTATAGTGTCATAATAGTTAATTTATAGTGCTGTCATAGTTGGTTTATAGTGCCTGCATAGTAATAGTTTTATATAACATGCATGCGTGTCGATTCGATGCTTGTTTTGCAATCGAAATTACGATCCGGACGACGATGAGTAACACGGCACGGGCAGCTCGTAAGACACGTAACGCATTGTACGACCCGGGTAACACGAGCATCAATAGCAGCACGCCCCAAGTGATTGAGTTCTGCGGGCCGTCATTTGGGTACCATGTGGCTTGGGGCATTCTGAGAAGCGTGAGTCTTGCAGCGAACGTGGCCTCTAGGCTGGCATAGTTTGGTTAAGTAATGAATATCTCATACGACTTTTAAGAGCTTATAATGGGGCGGCTTACCCCCTACACGATTGGTCAACAAAAATTCGTGAAATATTATTACAACACTAGACGAAGAAACAGCACAGCACTTCTCTCGTTAGAATCTCGACAGTAGGCGACCTCAGTTGAACCCGGGCGCGCAAGAGCTCACCTGTGCTCGTTGGCAAACACCATGAAGGCGTTGGGAGGGCGCCTGATCTTGGAGGTGGCGAGCTGGGCGGGCGGCTCGGCGGCCCGCTGGTGGCCGGGCACCGCACCTAGGTCCGGTGCGACGGCGTGCGCGCAGCCCGGGCTCTCGCTGCCGGCCAGCCGCGCCGCGGATGCCGCCGCCGCGCCGCCGCGCAGCGCGCACAGCGTGCCGGCCGCACAAGGCACCAGTTGGGCTGCAATGGCGCGTCACGCCCACACAGGATGACAGCGAGGCTATACGCATGGTATGATATGTGTGGTATGACAACTTGGTTTTTATCCCGCAAGCAGGAGCTCTCCCTAGAGGGAAAGAGCTCCCGCTGGAATTTTCGCAAATGTTTCTTATCGAATAAGAGACGTAAGAATATGTCTTGGAGTACGTCTTGTCAAATGTGAATATAAAAAATGTCTAATCCCGCGCCAAGATGGTGGGTGCTAAATGATGGCGTGTTAAAGAAAAACGTTAGGTTGAGCCAAGTGAAACGCCTTTTGCACGTTATCACATTAGACAGCCCGTAATTTAGCGCGTCTTTTTTGCAAGCTTTTCACCTTTTTGCATGCCGCCTTTGCCAACCAGCATCTTTTAAATGATATCGTCATGTTTACATTTCGCCCTTTTGCCCTCGCACCACACCTGTCGTGACAAGCCGGCCGTGCGTAGTGTATTTCACCTAGCGCGCTTCATTCGGCTTTATCGCGCGCCCGAGTGGCCTCCTGAATACCCTTCGTTCGGTTGGGAGTCAATCTGCCCGCCTCTGGGATCTCGAAAACTCAAAGCTAGAGGCACCAGACTCGTAGGATAGATTGACCTGTACGTGAACTTACTTGTGTCAAAATTTGAGGTTTCAGATTATGACCTTTAGGTCAAATAAGTGCAAACAAGATAAAACTCCAGATTGGTGTCTGAAGTGTCCACAGACCTGATGTAACGGCCGCGAAGCTAGATGTCAAAAGCAACATTTCCATGAATTTAGTGACATTGTTTGCCCTTTATAAGCTCAAGATGACCAAATATCTACGAAATTGCTCCCATTTCGTCATTTGAATAAGCGTCAAGGATTGCGCTAGGCGGCATGTTATTTAAAACAAAATGTTGACTTGGTCATTTTAAGTCTGTGGCATACTCTGGTTCTTAAAAAGCCCATTGAACATGCCTGTTGAGGTCATTAACAGATTTATTAGATTTGATAGGTTCGTTAACACACCTGTCATTAATGTATTCCAAATGAGCACCAGAAGCTCCCCGAAAAACACAAGGTCTCGGGTAAAAAAGCAGGTCAGTTTTGCCCTCCTTCTGACCTCTATACCTGATCCTAGGCCAATGGATTTTGTTGCAATTCAAATTTCAATTGGTTTCTTCCCTATGAAACTATCTCAGATAGGCATGGCTTCGTCTAACACTCCGCTGTTGCATCACCTTGGGCGATTCCCTGGAGATGCCTTTCGCTGACAGCCAAGGCCTGACTTTGATATGCTATGGGTAAGCGACCTTACAAGGTACATCTTATTTTTTTACGTGAATAGATTCGCTATTCACTGTAGCTATGTGTAGCTTGGCTCGGCTACGCCGCACCGTTCGGAAACCATAAATATGGTTCTACTCACGTTTTCGATAGAAAAAGAGAGGAGAGAGAGAGAGGAGAGAGAGAGAGATGTAGAGAGAGAGAGAGAGAAGAGAGAGAGAGAGAGAGAGGAGTAGAGGAGAGAGAGAGAGAGAGAGAGAGAGAGACGATGAGAGAGATGAGATCGAGAGAGAGCCTAGAGAGAGAGAGTAGAGGCGCAGAGAGAGAGAGAGATGATAGAGAGGATAGAGCGCTAGAGAGGAGAGGAGAGAGAGAAAGAGAGAGAGAGACCTCTGCCCGGTGACTAAAAAAGAACGCACTGGACTTGCATGCATCAGAAGACCCTGGTTCGTATTCCAGCAATTCTGACGGATCAAATCACTGAATGTCAAACGCCATCCAGTTCTTTTTAGGAATCAAAAAGAACTTATGGCGGCCGGGGACTTAACTGGCCGAAACGCTGCGTACATACTAGCACACTAGACGACAGCCGGAGAGACGATAGTCCGAACAATAGATAGTCTAGTCCACATATCTAAAATGATCAGGAGAGGGGGACGTTCATGTTCATCTTGACGCTCTGATCCCCAGTCATGTAAGCTAAGTTGTGTAAGTTCAATAGAGACCTTGGAGACGCACGTTTATGCAAAAACGCACGTTTTAGAGCCTCTTAGTAAACACATGGCAGCCTGATACAAATGAAGGTAGACATGCTAACAACAGCAAAGCGTAACGCAATTCCCAGGATATCAGGATCGCGCACATTTGTAGCTTCCTCCAATACTGAGCACTCAAACATCGTTTTGAAACATGGTTTGCACAGCGCTATCAGCGTTTAGAAAAAGTTCCCGCCTGGTCGTTGTGGTAACACTGTCGCCGTAAACAAGTTTGCCTATACCATCCTATCCATTTACATATCGCCGTTGCATTTTGCGTGGCTAACAAATTGCGCGCTGTGAAAATGGTGACCTTGGTCACTGGACCAAGTCCTGGGCCTAGTGGGACCGATGCGCGTTGCGGCCAGAAAAATCAGTTGTTGAACGGCATATCTTGGACGCACGGACGTGTTAAAGAGGGCATCCGTTTAGAGGCTGTGACAAAACACTTTTCAAACAAAATTATGCGCATGCTCTACGGTGTAATGGGGTAATGTGCGACTTTCAAAAGTGTGTGGGACATGACAGTGCCCTTCCCCTTCTCCCGCCGCCACGCCGGTGCTAAGGCCTCAAGCGAGACAATAGTCTGGATTTATGGACATGATCCCAGCGTCTTCATCTACATTACGAATTGCACCACAGCTGATTAACTTTTGTGTTGAAACATGGTTTTCTTAGGTAAGAATGCATCGTTCTAGTTATCAGCACACCGCTGGCTGTGCAGGGTGCTTTGTCACCACCAGCCGTAATAGATCCCGGTGGATAGAGCACTTCTATTCACGCGCGGGTCAGGAGGGTGGCATGCCCCGCCCATTGATCCGTGGGCGAGCTAGCTACGCGAGAGAAAACACGGCGGCTTGATGCGCGTGCTATCCAAATAAATACATGCAGTATGAGCCTTCTCATCAACTAAAGGCTTTCGATTAGTGGTCAGTTAAATTCGTGCAAAAAACAGAAAACGTAGTAATATTATATACCAAGGCGAGCTTTCTTAAGGTACAATCGTCAGCTTTGGCAAAGTGAATATACAGTTGATGATGCCATTGGCTTCGAACAAGATTAGTGGAAACCGCTGCTGTAGAACCGATCTCAGGTCAAAGCCAGGTCATCAGACGTCGATAGTCCCCCTCCAAAGGTACTGGCACCGACTGACCGACTAGTGCTGACGTAGTTACTGACATGTAAACAGTTTGCTGGTTTGCTTGGGCCAATGACTCAGCATTCCACACTGATTTATTCTCATAAGCACTCATTTACTGAGATACAACAGCAGCAAACTGGTTTGGTGCAATGACCGCGCAAAACATTTTATATATAGATATAGCTGTATAGATAACAGATATAGATATGATAAAGCTGTATAACTATAGATATAGCTGATATAGCTGATATCATTATAGATATAATATAGCTGTATGGATAACAGTGATCTGACATGAGAGGAACAATTTCATTTAATTCTTAGGTCTGACCTCAGGTCAAATCAGGTCATCAATCCTTGATAGAACCCTTCCAAAGGTATTAACGTATGAAGAGTTTGGTGGTTGGCTTGAGACTATCATCCAGCATTCTACATCAATTAAGTATCATACAGTGGCGCAGGCAGAGCGCACTGGGCCCCTCGCAACCTACGATTAAGGGCCCGAAAAAACCAGCCAGATGTCTTATTCAGGGGCCCGGCCAGCAGGGCCGGGCACTCAAATGCCAGCCAGAGGTCCCTGCGCACTGATCAGAGGCCCACTGAGTCAATAAGGGTCTATATTCGGTCACGCGCGACCAGTGACGCGATGTCGCCTGTGTGGCGGCATGGGCCTAAGAGCCCATTTCCCAAGCAGGGACAAAACCGGAGCCAACGATTTACATTGCTCGGGGCCCCACAGCGCTTAACAGGGGCACTGTGCCAGAGACCTGTGTCAGGGCCCCCTTAGACCCCGGTTGGGGGTCTAAGAATATAAAGGAATGGTCGGAGTCTTATTCAGGGGCCGAGACCTGCAAAGACGGACCCTCAAATAATGGTCGGAGGACCCTTTGCGCCGATCAGGGACCATCTAAGTCGATATGGGCCTATATGTCGGTCAGGTACCAACGCACCATTTGCACGGATGGTCGGCTCAGTGTCGGTATGGGCCCGAGGGCCCACTTCCCAATCAGCTATAAAGCCAGGGCCAGTGATTTACGCTGATTGGGAAACTTGTATCTGTCAGGGACCAACAGGGCCAAACTGAGGGCCCTGTGCTCGCAAGGGCTCCGAGCTGACCAAGGGAAGTGTTCGATGAGGCCCGAAGAGGGGCCCGGGAGGCTCACCGGAACCGACCATCAAAGACCCGGTTGGAGGGCATAATGGCCTGAAGGCCTGGCTGTAGATCACATAAAGAATTGTGGCCCGTAGGGTCGTGACCTGAAATATTGGTCAGAGGTCCCCTTGAACCGTTTTAGGAAACCCTGGGACGATGCGGGTGTCTAAGTCGATCAGAGACCACAAACACCGAGCGGTCGGTTCATGTCCGTCTGAGCCCTTGAGATCCATTGCGCGAGCAGAAACGAGGCCGGGGTCCGCGATTTGCAATGTTCGGGGTCCCTGACACAAAAGGGGCTCCTGCGTCGGTTAGGGGCACAGTGCCGACCAGGGATCCTGTGGCAGCAAGTGACTCCGAGTCGGCGCGGTGTTTGAGGGGGCCCGAAGAGGGACCGAAGGGTCTCTTGAGACCAAATATCAAGGAACCGATGGAAGGCTGAAGGGTCTGAAGGGCTGGTTGCAGGTCACATTAAGGACCCCCGCCCTTAATGTGATCTTAAATGTCACTAAGATGATCTCTTGCATTGATAGAGACCTCTGAGACAGAGCGTTCG